GTTCTCCTCCAAGCAAGCATGCGGTGTACTCTTTCCTGCACCTCTCTGGATGAAAACAAATGAAGAGTTTAGATACTGTAATGATGTTAGTGTCAATAAAGTCAAGAAACTGACTTGGTCAAAGAGAACAATCCGATAAAACTTAGGATCAAAGAATCTCCTGTTATTAGGAGATGTTCCTCCACCTGGGCCTCCGTGAAGAAAAACAACTGGCTGCAACAAATTAAAAAAAAAAAGTTAGGACTTTGATTTCTCCAATTTTTTCAGAGAGAATGGCTAAAAAACGTACGTGGCCATCTGGGTTTCCTGATTGCTCCCAATAGAGTGTGTGAGTATTTGAAACCTTTAGAAACCCATTGTTGTATGGCTCGATTGGAGGGTAAAGGCTTCTCCTTTCCACCACTATTTCCGCTCCAGTTTCAGTTGACTCACTCATATTGCAAATACTGGGCACTGCGCGTTTTCTTACTGAAATTCAAAGAGGTCCCATTTAGGATCAACTGAACTACCCAGAAATCAAGGATGGAAAGAAGATCATGATAAGAGAGTATTGAGAGAGACTGAAACCTGGGAACGAGAGACTGAGATTGTTAGGTGATGGTGGAAACAATCGAATACAAGAGTAAGTGGGTAGAGAGAACGATGGAAGTATATAAATGTGAGGGATGAGGATGTGACCTAATTTCATGCTTGGATAGTGATTATCCTTTACTGTTATTATCAAGATATTGAAAGATATTGTTTATATATATAATATACTAGGTGATTTTTCCGTGCTCATGCACGGGTATAAATATTCATAAAAGTAAAATTTTATAATAATTGATTGATATTTAGTTTTAGTTTTGAATAAATTTTATGACTTTGGATATATTATTGTCTGTTAAATTATCTTTTGGATCAATAGTCGGTTTGGTTATCAATTTGGTATATTGGATAATATTTGTTTTTCGAATTCAGTTATAATATTTTTTATTCTAAATATAATAAACTTTGATTATTTTCTTATTTTCATTTCGATTGGTTATTGCCTTAGATATGTCAATATATTATAGTTAAATTATGTATAACTTAATATATATTGTGCTTAAAATGAAATAAATAATAAACTGAAGTGTTTGATTCAGAATTACATAAATGAACATAATGATAATATTTTGAAGTCTCATGCATATATATAAATTCTACAAAATAATTAAACTGTTATTGGTTAATATTTTTTTTCTTTTTAAAATGCTTTGAGTCAACCTATAATTTATATGTATAAAATTAAATAGATTATTATTATTATTATTATTATTATTATTATTATTATTATCACTATTATTATTATAACATTATATGTTCTTATTGTAGTTAGATGATTAATTTTGGATATAAATTAGATTAGTCGAGTCATTCTTTTTGGAGTATATTGAGTTAAATATATGTTTAAATTAAAATTGAAGTATAATTACTTTTTATTTTAGTTAAGTCAAATCAAATTAGTTTTATTTATCGCTTAAATATACATGTATTTTCATAATATTTATTTACTCTTTATTTTAGTTAAGTCAAATCAAATTAGTTTATTTATCGCTTAAATATACATGTATTTTCATAATAATATTTATGAAATCATATGTTGATTTCTAAAGAATATTAGAAAATAAAATGTAACTGGTAAATTTTAAATGTTCATGAACATATATATTTTTATTATTTTGAAAATATATTTTATGTTATTTAAAAATATATATTAATGAGGGTATTACTATTTTGTGAACTTTCCTTTTTCATAAAGTCATATTACATATATATTTTCGTTTTTAAATTTGTTTTAAAATTTTAGAAATATTTCATTTTTATTATATATGTTATTTGGAAAAAAAGGTAAAAAGAAACTAAATAAAAAATTAATAATAATCTTAAAATCAAATAATTCATTAAGAGTATCTATGTAATCAACCTTCGCGAGAGTTAACATGAGCGCGACACGTAGGAAAATGACTTCTCAAATAATATTATAGAGATTATATAATTAAATTTATAATTAAAAACAAAAGATATAAAATAAAATAAAAAAGATAATGATTGACAAAACTATCGTAGTTAATGCTAGTAATAGTTTCATAAGTAATACTAAATATGAATATTTTGTTTTATAAAATATAGATTTTCAAGTTTTTTTTTAAAGAATCCTCATTTTATTTATTGGTATAAACTTACATAATAATTACTGTAATATTTTAATCTGTAGTTTTATATTTTTCTATCTTCAAAATATTGGTAGAAAATAATCACTATCAAAATTTGAAAATTAAGTATATAAAATCATTTGATTTTACTTTAAATTTAAAATAATGTTAGATAAATTTAAGATTGCATATATTTTTTTTGTTATTAAATCATTTGCTTTTAATTTAAATTTAAAATAATGTTAGATAAATTTAAAATAATGTTAGATAAATTTAAGATTGCATATTTTTTTTTGTTATGAATAATGTTTATTTATTCTTTTTTTTTATAAACTGGTTGATATTAATTTATCCTTGCCATCAATGTTTTGAATATTAAACTGAAAATTGACTTGACACTGGAGTTAGGTCAAAGGTCATACTGGTCCAACTATAAAATTATTTTTATAAGACTTTTTATCATTGTTTGAAGTTAAAATGATATGGAAATAAAATGAAAATTTCAAAATAATATAAAATATTATAAAAAATAATGTATTTAAATAGATATTCAAATCAATACATGTTCTTATGAAAGTTTTTTTTTTAAAAAATTGCCTTTTTAACTTGAATTTGAAAAATATCAAAATGAACCATCGGTTTTAGCGAGTGATCGATTCTTAAACCGAATTTGTTGGTTTTTAGCACAACTCAAAATTATTTAGAAGAGAGAGAGTCATGATCCAACCAGTCGATCTGGTTTTTAAAACATTTCTTGTCAGCGAGCATCGCTTTTAATAACAAACAACAAAATCATTTTAGTAGACATATTTTTATTATAAACTTATGTCAAGAACCATATACATATTTAACTGAAGTTGTTATTTACTGTTTAACCATTTAAAAAATAATTGTTATCTTAAATTTTCACAAATAATTGTTATCTTAATTTTTCACAAATAATTGTTATCTTAAATTTTCACGAATGTAACTGATGAACCGCCCCATACCGCAGTTAACAGTAACAAAAATCTCTACATATACCATATATCTATACATTATTATAACTTTTAAAACCGCACCGCAGTTAACGTTGTTTCAAATTTAAGAGACATTTTTCATCCCCTTAAAATACGATTTGCTTTTTACTTTCACAATCACATGAATAATTTTTATATATCATATTTTAGTAATTAACGTTGCATTTCCTAAAAAGTATTGCAATTACAAAATATAAATAATAACTATTATACTTGTTGTAGTTATATTTGACTACATATTATATGTTTTGTAAAATTGATTATTTTAATATTTTCAGATAGTATGTTTTATTGATTATATCTAATAAATAATAATAATGAGAATTAAAATTTAATATGTATAAAATTGAAAGGAAATATATAAGAATTATCGTTGGAAAACCACTTCGTTATCTCATTACATTACCGTATCTTAGTTTACTCTTTAAAATAAAAGGGATTGTTGTAGATGTTCTTAGATATGTTTTTTTATTTTATTTATATTTTTTATTTTTATGTTTAACCAAATTAAATTTTTATTAAAATATTAGTATTAAAGAAATAAAATATAGAGTATTATCAGAAATTAATTTTTAATATATTTGTGAATAAAACCATGACGAATAACATACAATGGGGCGAAAACACCATCTGACATAATTTCGTTTGGGCTTTTACAATTTTTTTTATAATTTTTTTTGTTATAAAATTATCATTAATTACTTTTTATAAAAATAATCATTTTATATATTTCATATTTAAATATGTTACGGGCCACGGTTCAAATTTTTTCCCTAAGGCCCATAATATAGTAAACTCGGCCCTGCTTGCATTAAGGTCGTGTGATCGCAGCTTACGATGGCATTGTAATCGTTTGCTTTAATTTTGTGTGGTAAATATTTTTTCCACAGAACAGATGCGATTTATTTACGTTGACCTGAGTCCTTTTCTGGTGGAGTCCTCTAATTTATCTGAAGATTAAGTAATTTTGTCACAATCCTAAACAATTTGGATCGAGATGATTGGGCCTAATGATGTCTTTCGTGTAATTTGTTATCTATAATGCTATTTTTAATTTGTGTGTCACTTAAGGAGTGTCTTTGTGTACATTTTTCTAAGTACCAATGCTTGTGGTTGTTACGTGAAGTTGTAGTTTAGCAGGTTCGTATTAGTTACTTAATCTTTTTTATTTTTTCTACTTCTTGAAAATGTTGTAGTTCTTTATTTGTATGAGGTTCATAAAAGTTTGCTCACAAAAAAAAAGTTCATAAAATTACAATGAACGGCCTGGAGTCATCAGCCTCAGGAAACCATATATAATAAGCGATAGTGAATACATCAAAAACATGAAGCTTACATATTGTAACCGTAAGAACTAATCGCTTTGTTGTTGCTGATTGATCTAAGCTTGGTCTTCATCTCTCGATAAAAGGATTTTTTCCAACTCCTGAGACATAAACTTTGGTGGTTGAAATTCTGAAGAAATGATAATATTAGTACAAATCAAGCAATGCAGAAGGATATAATTCACTTATGCTGAAATGTTTTCTTTTGTTACCTAAGAAGCTGGAAAAATATGAGCAACCAAACGTCGATTTATGATAAATTTAAACAAACATAAAAGATAAATAAATGATCTTACTAACAAACTGAAGTTATAAACGTAAGAATTGCGATTATGTAAGAGGGGTTTGATAATTTTCGCTATAGTATAGCTCATTTGATTTTATTCATGTGTTTTGTCTTGAGATAAAAGTTAAGAGGAGGCTAATCTTTTCGTCAAGGAGGACATTGTCTACTCCATCAGCTCCCATCCTCTCTTCACTCACTCCCAGGAACACATCGGAAGAGTCACCACCGCCTGAAGACAAATTCCAGACTTCAAATAAGAACGCAGCATATGGGGATGTCACAAAAAGGGGATAAGCAAATTCTGTCTCAGGCCAAACACAACTGTTAGTTATGAGAAAGATCAGTAACTAACCTGCCAACGGTTATCCTCGAAATCTGATATCTCGCGCACTTTTTCTCTTAGTTTGGTCTTTGGAACATCTGGGAACTTCTGCTGCAATGTTTCAACCACTTTACTGATTCCTTGAGAACATGATTGTATTGTTGAGACCTGTTACGTCACACAAAATGATAAATGCTCAGATTCCAAGATGACTTCCCCGCTGCTTCTTGATACTCATATCGTATGTCATTGATCGATATCTCAATGAGTGAAGAGGAGCAAGGGAATGCACAGACCACCAGAGCTCGCAGACATATCTGTTCCATTTTCTGTGTCCTCTCTAGATCTTTAGTAGCTAAAATTGAGATCTTGTCATGCAAGGGCGTGATCAGTCAAACTCTGCAGCTGTTTTTGTTGATGTAGTAGTGCGTGAAACTCTCGACTCTCTTGATCTTGTTGCTTAGATGGAGGTGAACTTGCATCCTGTTCAGACGGATCAATCTTCATTCTGTCCACTTGGACCCCCTGAACCAAACAATCACAAGAGTTTACATTAAGAAACTTTTTCCACCTAAGCAAAACCATTCGTTAGCTAACCCAAGCTTTCACAAAGATGGACGAATTGCAAGATTCAGCTGTTTTAGATTCCTAGACTGTGATAACTTTTGAATTTATGCAGAGCTATTTAAAATGCTTTTTATACCATATCTTCTAAAAGATACTCATCAGGGACCATAAACTCATCTTCACTATCATCTTCATCATCGGCCTTTGAACATCCTTCTTCCAAAGATTCCTCTTCATCGTTCTCACAATCTGAAAGCTTTCACCCGCTAGTTCCTGTAAAGTAAGAAAGCACCTTATTACCCAGTGATCTCTTGACGAGTTTTAAGATTGCAAGAGCATAATAATTTCCGAAAGGGAAGTGTTAAAATCAATTAAATTACATCTTCCCAAGCCTTTAAAACCAGAGAGATCTACCATTTTGGAGAACACCAACGATCCGAGCTTTACATAGGAAATCAGCTTCATGGGTATTGACCGAAACAATTGAGGAGACATTAGTTTTGACTTGTTTTAAGTCAAAAAGTTTGCAGAACATATTATTAGTAACCTGGTCGTTTGTCTTGGAGAGGTGACGTGAAGGTCTGCAGTTGGCAAAAGTTTCTTCTTCTAAAATACCTCACATTGTCTCAACCACATGGGAAATATTATCCTGCTGCGGTTGGAACACATATTTTTTAAATACAGAAATGTGAGGGAGTAGAGTTGTTTTCAAATATGAACTTTGAACAATGAAAGCTGATGTAAGCTACCTGCACCATTTCACTGAGAAAGCTTAACCCATGTGGTCCAGTGATAGATACCGCCAAGAGATACCGAGTAATGACCTGCTATATAAGTAGTCTAGATGTAAAGTAGTTCTGTAACAGTTTGATCATTCAAGTGCCAGCTAATATCGCCTCTGCACTTTTGGGAAGAAAACTAATCAAATGCTAAAGGAATAATTAGTAAAAGGCACAAGTTCTGTGAAGTTAGTGAATTAGTGGAACCACTCCCTCATATCACAGAGTATTGAACAAACAAAAAGATAACCTACCTCATAACACGGTAATGTGATGGAATGTACCCCAATGTGCTAATTCCCAAGGGCATTTGATCTCAGCGTCAAGGATTGGATTCACTATTTGTGAACACATATGACACCAATACCTATCCGCCATTGCCTCTTCCTCCTCTCCTCCTCGTTTCTGAAACAAACCAGAAGAAGAACATAAGAAACATGACGAAAACCTAGAAACTCCCATCTTTCTTAGTTTTAGCAGATCTAAATAAAGGGGATGGCATTAAATTCAATAAAAGGAAGAGAATCAGCGTCAGAAGGATCATAATCGCAAGATTCAGACAGGAAAGTTCCTAAGCGAAACACAAATCAATCTCAGAAATGATTCCCCTAAGCAAAGAAATCTGATGAAAATAAGCGCAAATCGCATGAACAAAGAGTTATCAGACCATATAAAAAATACAAAACCATACCTTGTAAAGATCTCTACTTTCTGACGATCCAGAGGAAAAAAAGATAAGATCTTGTTTCTTCTTTACTTTCTCTGCATGCACACCTTGAGGATCAGAGGATCTCAGCTCCGGCTCCCCAGATTCCGATCCAGAATCCGAACTGGGTCTTTGGTTTTTGATTTAAACCTCACTCGCTGACAAAGACCCACCGCCGCAGACACCTAGGGAAATAATAAAATCAAAATCAAAATCAGTTTCAAAACAAAACAACCAGAAAATCAAAATCAGCTTCGAAAATCCGAAGTTGATAACAAAACAATAAAAAGATCTCACAAATTCAATAGCAGAATGATACTGTCCTTGGATCGATAAGCCGACCATTCAGGTCTGAGGGGGACGAAGAAGAATAGAAACGCTTGGAAGTGAAGAGAAAAAAATTTTGAACGACAAATAAAGTAACCAGATTTGTTTGTGCTGACATGGCAATATAAAAACCTCTTATTGGCTAATTATTTTTGGTGATGTGGACAGTGCAAGAAGCTTTTATTTAGTACTTTTAATAGTGTTAGATTGGCAATCTTGAGAGCTCTCCTCACAGCATTTAGTAAATACTGTAGTTCTTTCTTACCTAGACAATTTATAATTTATGTCATTATTCATTTTACTAGGATTTTTATCTTATACTATATTTGGTTCCTATATAATGTTAAGTAGTTAAACGTATATACTTAGTAATACAACGACATCACGTATTATAAATCCGATTCGATATCACGTATAATTTTTCTTTATCACTCAATATAAACATGACAATAAAACATCACGTAGTATATCTTCTAATATAAACTGAACAATATGACATCACGTATTATATTTTCGAATACATATTATTTCTTCTGTTATTTTTCAACGTATTATATCCTTCAACAACCTTCGTATACATTTTACTTTTTCAAATATTTATTTGTGCTGTCGTGCTAGCATGTAGTTAACAACAATATTAAGGAACAAATATTTGTTCGTATATACATGGTGTATTGACATTCCTTTGTGTTCTTAATAGTGATGTATGACATCTTTTTTTTTATATATCTTTGTACATGATATGACTAAAATTTATCAAGGATTTTGCATACCTTTTTAAAGTTAGGATTGCCTTTTACTGAATCGACACACTCACATACGTTAATTATATTTTTTTTAAAACGAATAGAAAGTTACAAAGTTTGGCCATTACCACTTTTATTCTTTCCAAATGAGATTAGCTAATTATATTACTATCTATAATTTGACAGCGTGATTGAGCATTAATAATTGATTATGTAATTATATATAAAATTAAATTATGTTAAATAATAATTAACATCAATTTAAATTTAATATGTAGAATATGATTATTTTTAAGTTATATGGTTATTTTGTATAGACTATTAGTGAATAATTAACATCGATTTAAATTTAATATATATATATATAATCAAAATTGTTATTAATTAATTGTAAATATTAAAAATTGCGTATGGACTATTAGTTATATATGAATATAATCAAAATGTTTATTAGTTGTAAATAATTTAAAATAACGGCATATAAAATATATAATCGAAAGGCTTATTAGTTTATTCAACTACGGAAACTATCCTAAAATAATAAAAAGCATAGATCAGTATGATTGCATATTTCTGTTTATGACGAAAAATCATAATTTATTGCATTAGATTAGTACGAATGAAGAATTTCTATTGACTGTGTTATATGAAACCCTTCAAATATATTATTTCCTTGCAAACAAGAAAAGTGTTTATCAGCATTAACCTCCGGTCACCTTAATACACATCCAAATAACTTACGATATATAAATAAAGAAGGCAAACATTTAGTTCCGCCAATTTGCCTCCATGCTTTTATTACATTTTCAATGTTTATATTAATTGTCAAAAACATGATTATAATCATAAATAGTATATATTTAACAGATGCATATCACCTTGGTAACCCAATTTCACAACAAGTTCTTTCGATAATTTTTTCTATCGGTAGTCATACTTTATTGGTAGAATTAAGTCTTCTCAAACCTTTGTTTTCAGTCCGTGTTAAGATTATATGCAAGGGGAAGACAGAAGTTGCAACAATATTCCAGAAATCGGAACTGCTACTAGAAGATGAGAAGGTAAGATTTATTTATGGGTAGACAATTTATTTACCCATGAGAAATATCATATAGCATTAGATCTCCATCGAACTATGACCTAATAGATCTCCCTGAATTGAAAATTGCAAACCTATTTCTCCCCGAATCAATACTTCAAAACTTAATTACCCACAGACGATGGTTTTAATTGGTTTATTCTTAACCAAACATCTTAAAATCAAGTAAACCAAACCAAAATCCAATTAAATAAAACAAAATCTTCTTCTATTGTAAAATAAATCCATTAAAATGTTTACATAAGAATGTTTATGGCGATTTAGATGGGGATTTAATTGGATTTTGGTTTGGTTTACTTGATTTTAAGATGTTTGGTTAATAATAAACCAACTAAAACCAATTAAAATCATCGTTTGTGGGTAATTAAGTTTTGAAGTATTGATTCGAAGAGAAATAAGTTTGCAATTTTCAATTTGTGGGAATCTAGCATGAGGTCATAGTTCGGTGGGGATCTGATGCTATATGATAGTTCTAGTGGGTAAATAGATCGTCTACCTTTTATTTATTGTTATATTAGTAAGAAAATTTTTTGTATTTACTAACGAATTTTGACTCATGTTGGACAGGGAAATACAATTATAAGAAAAAGGTATAACATTCCATTTACTTAATCTCCTTATTATTATTTGAGGAGTCCTTTTTAAAAGTAACCTTATGTTTATGTGTTATTATCAACAATGCCATTTTTTAGGTGGGAACACTATATTCATTCTCAGCCTCATTAAATAAAAACCCTATCTTTATTTGACTTATTACATTCTTTGTCATTATTCATTAATTGTAGTTTAGTATAATGTTTTAATAGTGTGTTTTGGTTAAGTGAATTCTTAATGTAGACCAAGGAAAAAATGGTTATTTGGTAACATATTTTATATCATTTTTAAACCGGTTAACATATTTTACCCGAATACTACTTTAGAATTTTTATATAAATAATTTTTTATTATATTATATAATGTATAATTTAGATTACACTATATAAAAATCAGTTATTTAAAACCGGTTTTATTATATTATATAAATCAGTTTCTATTATATTATACAATGTATCAAATGAGATTATAATTTGAAATGTTTACAAATATATTTTGAAAATATTATATTATAAAATGTGTAAAATTATATATTTTATTTCAAATATTCGGCCACCATGACCGCACACCTCTAATTGAATACTACAAACCAAAAATAAAATTTATAAATTTCTAGCATATAACTATAATTTCTTCACATAGAATTGATTTGGTACATAGTCTTCAATTAGAGGCTATGATGACGAGGATGATTTGTTAAATTACTATATATTTTGATAATGTTTATTTAAGAAGCTTTTGAATATGATAAAACTCTTTTTTATTGATAATTTTTGTGATCGATCATCTAATTTTTAAAATATTTGGAAATATATAACCAGTCACTTAAATTAAGGACCATGGCTTTGTATAACTTTTTCAAATTTCAAAATTTCTTCAAATAACAATATTTACATGTATTCATGAAATTTTTTTTTTCAATTTTCATAAATGATAAGAGAAAAATGATTATGGTTAACATGTGTTTATGAATTTTCTAATCTGCTTAGACAGTTTGCGGTTCGATATCAATTCATTATGCATATTGATTGATTTTTTAAAAACATATTTCTCGGGTATTATAGATTTGTATATAAATAAATGTTGATTATGTCTTGACTCTTTTATTTTAGCAAGACCATATCACAAACTTTATATTATTTGAAGATTGATTGATTTCTTAAGGGTAACTAAAACCGGTCTTTATTATATTATATAAACTGGGTTTTATTATATTATATCATGTATCAAATGATATTACAATTTGAATTCAGGTGTACTATTGTTTCTTAACGAAGATTATAATTTTCAAATAGGCCATTATATAATGTATATATGCTTACAACGTATTTTAGAAACATTATATTATAAAATGTATCAAATTATATATTTTATTCAAAATTTTTGGCCACGTGGACCACACACCTCTAATTGAATACTACAAACAAAAAAATAAAATTTATTCTAGATTGATTTTATTCAAGCATTGATTGATTTTATTTAAACATTTTGTATTTACCTCACTCATTGATTGATTTTATTTAAACATTAAATATTTAAATATTGGTTATGTCTAGAATCTTTTACTTTAGGAAGACTATGTCACGAATTTATATTTATAAAGTAAAACAAGAAAGGATTTTCTAATAATCATTGATTGATTTTTGTAAGGGCAACTTGTGTACTCCCTTTGTTTCAAAAAGATACATATTCTTGAAAAAAACTTGTGTTTCAAAAAGATGTATTTTTTAGATTTTCAAGGTATTTTTTAGATTTTCAATGTACTTTTTTATCAACTAATAATGAAAAATTGCAAATTTCAAAAACATTAATTGCCTTTCTTGAAATCCTATTGGTTTAAAGATATGGGAAATATAAAATTACAAAAAAATATGCATTAATAACTAAGTTTTAATATTTTTGTTAATATGCATGAAAAATTAAAAACATGTATTATTTTGAAACAGAGGGAATAATATTTTTGTTAGCATCTAAAAGATTATAGTTCGAAGTCATATCATGTATATAAGCTAATTGATTGATTTTATTCAAGCATTAATTGATTTTGGTTAAAAAAATATATTATTCAGAAATTATAGATATGATTTGTCATTAAGTAATCAAAAGTAATAGATATTCCTTCCAATTTTAAATACCCTGATTTCAATTAGTGATTTTTTTTTTTGCTTGATTTTAGGCCATAGTTATTCAACACCACCATTAATTATTTCTTTTGCTTAAACACTTTCCTCAAGGTACTATATATATCTTTCTAAACTCATCGAAGAACACCATCAACCTAAACATTTCCAAAGCATCATCGAAAAATATAATTATTATCGTCATGATTTTATTATGAGTTAAATAGTTATATTGCCTATGATTTGTTTTTTCTTAAATTATAATAAATTTAAATAAGTCTTTGCTTACTCTTGTAGTTTTTTCTTCTATATAATAGATTTCAATGCACCTATCTAATTACACAAACTTTTTTCATAAAAAAACAAATAAACTTACATTATATAAACATGTATACTGTAGTAAAAAAATTCATTATATCTAATTTTATTTTATTTTTATCTTTCTAAATATCTATAGAT